GTGTTTCCAAGCCCGTCTGGGGAAGCTGTGTCAGGGAGGGCGGTTAGCGGAGGCAGCCGAGCTGCAGGGCATGTCTGAGCGCAGGGACTGATCCTGCCTGGAGAGCCCACACTAGCTCCAGTTTGCTCCCGAGCTCTGCGCTGGGGCAAGGCTGAGCTGTGCCCAGGCCCTTGGTGTCTTTTTTTTTTTTTTTTTTTCTGGAAAGCTGGGACCCAGCCAGGCAGAGGGACGCGGCGCACCGGGGTTTTCCCTCCTCCAGCCCCTGGCCCACATAGCACTGCCAGGGCTGGGACATCTCTCCCCAAACCCGCTGGCTGCTGGTTTGAGCTTCCAGTAGCCCAACTGGGCGAGGTGCGTTCACACGCGCAAGCTCTGCGCCCCTCCAAGCTCTGTAGTGAGGGGATTACTGTTCCCTGAGAGCGATCCCAGCCCCTCACCACCCCGGGACAAGTGTTTTCCTTAAGCCAAAAATAGCCAGAGGTGGCCGTGGAGCGGTCCGTGTGCCGCGGACAGCCCCGGTGCCCGTCTGCCCCCGCACCGCCGGCTCGTCTCCCCGCTGCCAGGAGAGACACGTCCCAGCAGCCGCTCTGCCCGGCAAACCTTCCCCAGCCCAGTCCCCGTGGCTTGGGCTGCCACGAGGGAGCCAAGGGAAGGAAACTGTGTCTGAGGGAGGTTTTATCTGCTTTCTGATCCAGAAAGACCTGCTGCCGTGCGGTGGTTTCTCTCTCAGCAAGAACCGGGCAGGAGTCCCCGGCTCGGTTTTGCAGTTGGAAGCTGTTCTTTCTTGCTTGACTAAACGATGTCAGCATAAAACCCGGGCCAGCGTGGTTTCGTGCTCCGCAGCGGGCCGCCGTCCTCGCTGGGGTTGCTTTTAAGGGGGGGTTTTTAATTGCTGCTTCGCATGTAAATCCGGGGCCAGCCGTGAGCGTCGGGGAGGTGCCACAGGCAGATGTTGGCTGCCGCCCGCAATGCGCCGCGAGGCTGGCGGGGGCCTCGCCGCAGCCCCCGGCTGCGAAAGGGACCGGTAGGACCTGCTGGCTGCTGCCTGTGAATGCAACGAATCGGGTCGGGTCTCAGCCCCAGTTCGGCGAGGACGTGCCCACCTCCTGAGTGGCTGCGTGGCCCCGACCCTCGGCTTCGCGCTTTCCCTTCCCGTGGATGCGGTGGCGGCACCTTTGCACCGCCTGCACCCCCCAATCCCATCCTCCCTCTCTGTAGCTACCCCCTTCTTCGCTCCGCCGTCAGATCCCATTCCTCCTCCTCCTCCCCCCGCTGCCCCCAGAGCAGCGATCCCGCTTGCTGACGCTGACCCCATCTTCTTCTTTCCAGCCCCCGTCACGGCTGCCGGGTGCTGTGCGAGGCCCAGGCTGCCGCCTCCGTGAGCGCCCGAGCGTGGAGCGGCCCTTAGGGTCCGGGGTAAGTCCCGTTTTTTTGATCAATATATTGCACGTTTTTTCAAAGTTTCTTTTTCGTTTCCTCTTTGGTCATTTCCCCACCCCGAAGGGTCAAACCAAAAACTTTGAAAAACCGCACAGTATATTCAGAAAAAAGGGACTTACCAGCCCCGCTTGGGGACTAGCGCGTGGTGGGGAAGGGGCTGGGGGGGGGGCCGTGGCAGTGCTGCATGCAGGGCTGGGGCCGTCGAGACCCGGGGTGTCCCGTCCCACACACGGGGGGGGGTCTTCCCTCCGGCCAGCTGCCTCCGGAGGGTTTCGGCAGGACCCACGGGAGGAGCATGGACGGACGCGTTGGGCACTGGTGTGTGGGCGCAAGCGTGGCCCCCCCCCCCCCCAGCTTCTGGGAGCGGAAGGGCAGAGCCTGACTCCCCCCTTTTTCCTCCCCAGGCCAGCAGCAACTGACTGTGCAGAACATGTCCGGCAACAACCTGACCATCAGCGGCCTGAGCCCGACCCAGATCCAGCTCCAGATGGAGCAAGCGCTGTCCGGAGAGATTCAGCCCGGGGAGAAGAGGCGGCGGATGGCGTGTACCTGCCCCAACTGCAAGGACGGGGAGAAGAGGTGAGCACGGAGAGGGGAGAGGAGCAGCTCGGTGGGAACCCAGCACCCTGCTCCAAGGCTAACCGTGGCTTTTCCTCGCCAGGCCGGGGGACCCGGGGAAAAAGAAGCACATCTGCCACATCCCCGAGTGCGGCAGGACCTTCCGCAAGACCTCGCTGCTGCGCGCTCACGTGCGCTTGCACACGGGCGAGCGCCCTTTCGTCTGCAACTGGGTCTTCTGCGGGAAGCGCTTCACACGCAGCGACGAGCTGCAGCGGCACGCTCGCACGCACACAGGTCTGCGGCCCCGCGGGGTTACGGGGCACATATCCCCCCCCACCCCCAAAACCTCCCTCCCAGGGCAGCCCCCAAAGCTTTGGCCCAGCCCATGCGGGATCCTGAGCCTTGCAAGAGCCGGGGGGATGTGCTGAGCTGAGGACTGGGATGATCTTGGGCCACCACAAGTTGCCTTTGGGGTTTGACTGAGTTGCTGGGAGGGACTGGAGAACTTGGGGGCGGTGGGGGGCGTCTCTGCTGCCTTTGGGCTCTCCAGATGATGGTGGTGCCGTGGGAAGGGGCTGTGGTGGGGGTGTCACTGCCACCCCGGGGTGTCCCCACTGTCCTGACCGTGGCCGGTTTAGGGGATCACGGGGAGAAAAGCAGATCGGTGCCGGCTGCCACCCCCTGATCCTGCTCTTCCCCCACAGGCGACAAGAGATTCGAGTGCGCGCAGTGCCAGAAACGCTTCATGCGGAGTGACCACCTGACGAAGCACTATAAAACCCACCTGGTCACCAAGAACTTGTAGGGCCGGGACCTGCCCCACGGCTCCCTGACCACGGCCGGACCCTGCGAGGGCACCAGCCCGTGACGCCGCAGCACTCCAGCGGCCCCCCCACCCCCAAAACCCCGCCACCCCCCCCGAGGAGAGGACCCCACGGGGACGTCCTCCTGCCCTTCCTCCCACGCTGCCTGGGCTCCCCCTCCCCGCAGAAGAAAACCCTTTCTGAAGGGGGGCGAGGGGCCGATCCTGTGGATCCCCAGGGGATGGTGGCCCGGTGGTGGCCCAGCAAAATGTCCCACGGCCACGCAGGAGCCGGGCACGGAGGGGACAGGACGCTTCGGTGCGGGCGGGCCAGGAGAGGCTCCACAGCACATTCCTACTTTATATTTAAAGTCTATAAATAGCTATAAATATCTATATAACCCCCTTTGGAAGGTCCCTTTTTTTCTATGGAGATCGTTGCCTTACGCTCCCCGCTCCCAATTACGAACACTGTGTATTGTGAGTGCTTTTTTAAATTCTTATTTAATTTCTCTGTAAGATGCTGCCCATCTTCTTGCCTCCCTTTCTCCTAACGTTTCTTTTCCAATACTGAAGAGTTATTGTTTTGGGGTTTTGGTTTTGGTTTTTTTTTTTTTTATCAGAAAGTGATCATTTCTCTCTCCCTACTTTTCTGTTTCCAAGTAACGTGGCGTTTCCTTTTGAATTTTGGGACTTCAGCCCCTTTTTCTCCCCTGTGTGCTGCCCGCCATCCCTACTGTGTATAGTGTACATTGTATCATAGATTATATTGCTTTTGTGTTTACCACATGTTTAAAAAAAAAAACATGGCTTGTTATTTTTGAGCTTTTAAATTAAACAAATCCACTTTATTTTTTAGTTGTAACTGCCCGAGGTTGTTTTCTGGATTACGTGACAGATCTGTTATACTTTATTAACTGTAACTGGTTGGCTGGTGTGGAGCCAGCCGGGAGCTTTCCTTGCTAAATAAATTTAGTCACCAGAGGCAAATCCAGTGCAGCGTGTGCCGCCGAGGGTCCTTTCTCTCCCGAGCTGGCACGGTGGGAGCCGTGGTGCTGACCGGGCACCGCTGCCACCGGGGCTGTGGCCGCACCGGGACGTGCAGCAAGACAAGGAATCCCAAATATTGCTGGAAAACGAACTTATTTACAGGAAAACGGTCCTGGATGCGTGGGGCTGCTGCTGTGTGCAGCCCACTGTCCCCGGCGTGTCCCTCCCTGTCCCCTCACCTCGGAGGGGTCCGGGCTCATCCCCCCCCCCCCACCGCGGCGTGGCCGGAGTGTCGTGGCCATCCCGTGGGTCTCTGCTCGCTCCACCTTCACCCCCATGTTCTTGTCGGGCCGCCCTTGCTGCTTGAAGTTGCAGCCTCGCCTCTTGGCGACCCACTCTGTGGGGTGGAGGGGGACCCGACACCCCACACCCCCCCCCCGTCTGTGAGTGGCACCGCGAGGGGACAGGGGACCTCGTCCCACCCCACCCCTTACCTGGGGGGGCGTTGGCCGTGGGCAGGCGGAGGGGCTGCTCCACGGTGGGGGTGGTGTGGGCGATGTGTTGCCCCGTGGCCAGCTGGGCCGGTGTCTCCTGCCAGGGGGGACCAAAGGAGCTTTCGTGGGACCCCAGATCCCTCGTGGGACCCCAGATCCCTGGTGGGACCCCGGGCGCATCGGTGGGATTCCCCAGTGCTTTGGTGGGACCCCGGGTCCCAAGTGGGATCCCAGAAGTTTTGGTGGGAGCCCAGGTCCCTGGTGTCACCCTCAGACCCTGGTGAGACCCCATATTCCCAGTGGGATCCCAGGAGCCTTGGTGGGACCCCCAGTCCCTGGTGGGACCCTTGGTGGGACCCCCAGTCCCTGGTGGGACCCCTGGAAGCCCAGCTGCCCCCGCGCACTTCGGCGGGTGAAACCCAGAGCGGTCTCCACCTCCTCCGTGTCCCCCAACCCCGCCGAGCCCCGTCTCCGCCCCCTCCATCCCCGACCCCCTGCGACCCCCCCCCCCCGCCCCCGGGGACGCTGTACCTTTAAGAGCCCCTCCATCTTCCTGTTTACAGCCCTGACACCACTTCCGGGTCTCCGCCTTCCGCCCCCGAACCGCCCCCTCCAATTGGCTGGCACCGCTCCCCGTCCCCGCCTTCGCTTCGCCGCTTCCTATTGGCTGTCGGAGGGGAAGGGGGCGTGGCTCATACAAGCCGCGCCCCTGGGCGGGACCATGTCGGGGCCGCGGTTTGGGGGGGGTCGCGGCGGGGTTTCGGCTCCGCTCGGTTCCCGTCGGCCGCGGCCGGGATGGATCTGGGGCCGCTGCGGAAAAGCTACCGGGGGGACGAGGAGGTGGGGACGGGGGGTGCTCGGCGGGGACGGGGGGGCGGCTGCCGGGCGCGAGCGGGGACGCGGGGACCCCCGGCCTGGTTCTGTGCTGGAGGCCGGGGCGATTCCCCCCCCCCTCCTCCCCCCCACCAGGCTGTTCCCACGGCCCGGGGTGACCCTGGAACTGGGGTGCCACGCCCCCCCTGGGGTGACCCTAGAACTGGGGTGACACCCCCCCCCCCAGCCTGTCCCCGACGGCCCGGGGTGACCCTAGAACTGGGGTGACACCCCCCACACACGACGTCCCCACAGCCCGGGGTGACCCTAAAACTGGGGTGACTCCCCCCAGCCTGTCCCCACGTCCCGGGGTGACCCCCCACCGTGCTGATAATGACCCTAGAGCCAGGGTAGCCCCTGTCCCTAAGTCCTGGGGTGACACCACCACCACCCCCCCCCCCCCGTGCTAGTTGTACCCCCTGGAATTGGGGTGACACCCCCAGGCTATCCCCAAAGCTGGAGGGACACCCCCACCCCCCACACCATTCAGTAGTTACCCTGGAACCAGGGTGGGGTGTCCCCCCCTCCCACCTCAGGCCGGTTGTGGCCAGGAATTGGGGTTCCCCCCACCCTGAGGTTGTCACTAGGGCTTGGGGGGTGACTCCACCCCCCCCCAACCCCATGCTGGCTGTGGCGCTGGAATTGGGGTGACCCCCCAACAATGAAGTGACACCCCCCCCCCCCCTCCCCTTTTCATGCTGGCTGTGTTCCCCCCAGCTCCTTGCGTGTGCTGCACCCCCCGGGGCTGGCGTCACCCCAAAAGTGGTGGGGTTCCCCCCCGCCCCCTTCTTTACAACATCCCCCCCCCATCTCCCCAGGCTTTCGAGGAGCAGCACTTGGCTTCCCACGACCCCATCCAGCAATTCGGGGTCTGGTTCGAGGACGCCGTGGGCTGCCCGGCCATCGGCGAGGCAAACGCCATGTGCTTGGCCACCTGCACCAGGTGAGGCCGGGGTTTGGGATGGGGCGGGGGGGGGGGGGAACAGGGCAGGGGGTCCCCCAGGATTTTGGGGGGGGGGGGGTTCACCCCCATCATTGCCTCCCCCTCTCCCGCCGCAGGGACGGGAAGCCCTCGGCCCGCATGGTGCTGCTGAAGGGCTTCGGGCAGGACGGGTTCCGCTTCTTCACCAACCACGAGAGCCGTAAAGGGAAGGAGCTGGTGAGGGCTGCGGCCGCGCCGGGGGGGCGAATTTGGGGGGGTGGGAGGGGGGGCTGACAGCTTCCCAGCCCCTTTACGTTGAGGCTGAGGCTCTGAAAGCGAAGCAGCGCGGGCAGGTCCTGCCGCGGCAAAGCACAGGGTTTTCCTCTGGTTTTTAAATGCTAGGTTGCTGACAGCTCTCTCGTCTTTCTCATCTCTCCGCACCCCAGGACTCCAATCCCTTCGCTTCGCTCGTCTTTTACTGGGAACCCCTCAACCGGCAGGCGAGTCGGGGTCCCCCGGGGGTGTGGGGGGGAGCGGAGGGAGCGCATTTGGGCGCTTTCCCCCTTGGGGTGGGATGTTGGGACTCACACGTTTGGGTGGGGGGGGTCGCAGTCAGACGGGTCCCAGCCCCTGGGGGATGAGATGGGATGGGGGAGTGCCTGTGTGTTTTTTTTTTTGGGGGGGGGGGGGGTGTTGTTAGGGGACGGGGTGATTCCACGCGGCCCGTTCAGCGGCCGTTGGCCGGTGCCTGGCGCAGGTTCGGATCGAGGGCTCGGTGAAGCGGCTGCCGGAGGAGGAATCGGAGCGATACTTCCACTCCCGCCCCAAGAGCAGCCAGATCGGGGCTGTCGTCAGCCGGCAAAGCACCGTCATTCCGGACAGGGAGGTGAGCTCTGGGGCTGGATCGGGCCGACAGGAATGAGGGTGCTGGAAGCGAAAGTAACAGATGTGGCGGGGAGCAGAATTTGCTATTGCTGAGGCCGTGGAAAAGTGCTGGGGGGGAAGCACCAAAAATGTGTAGTTAAGGAATTTGAGAAAACGAATAGTAATGGAAATGCACCTGCAGAATATAAAAGTAACTGGTTTAGGTTTAATAAATGTCTCCCGTTGTACCTCACTCTACAGGGGAAAAAAATCAATTGTCTGTTCAAAACGTAGATTCATCTTTAGTGATACATAGCAATAGTAATGTGTGGTGTAATTATACATCAAGCAACGTTTCACGCTCCTCCAAAAGCCCATTAGCCTTACCCGTGCGGGTGTTTCTTATTTATGGGGATAGAGCTTGGCCTGGGATTCTATCTCATTTAAGGGGAGGACCTTGTAGCTTAGGAAGATTTCAACGATCCGTGCTGTATGAATTTATCGGGCCACTCTAAATTGAAGAACTGCATAAGCCAGTGGGAAAGCTACAAGAACATCATGAATGGAACATTTTTGGAGACTGGTTTAACAGTGTAGGGATATGGGTGAAACGTTTTTTGTTAGGTGTATTTTGATTACTGACCTTTATATGCATATTATTAGTGTGTGTGCCGTGTGTAATACAATATGTACAGTGCATGATCGATAAAGCTATAGGCAATGTAATGTTAGCTGCTTTAGAAAACAAAAAAGGGGGAGATGTTGGGGGAGACAAAATGGAAATGCATGCTAGGCTGTGGAGCAGGCCCCTCAGCCCGAGCACAAGCACCGAGGGGCTCCTGCTCCAAGCATGCATTTCCATTTTGTGTGTCCCCCCCCCCGACAGTGAGCGGCCGTCCCTTTCCCCATGACAGCGCCCGGAGAAACCAGGATTGCTCCAGCCGCCCTCGCGCTCACCACCTTCCCCTTCCCACAGTATTTAAGGAAGAAGAACACGGAGCTGGAGGAGCGGTACAGGGAGACGGCGGTGCCGAAGCCGGCGTACTGGTGAGTCGTGGCTGGGGGGGGGGGGCTGCGGGTGCTGCCCACCGGTGGGGGGCCCCCCCACCCTTAAAGCCCTGTGTCTCCCTGCCAGGGGGGGTTACATCCTGCAGCCGGACGTCGTGGAATTCTGGCAGGGCCAAACCAACCGCCTGCACGACCGCATCGTCTTCCGCCGCTTGCGGGAGGGCTCGGCCCCCCTGGGAGACATGACGCACCGGGGAGAGGGCGAATGGGTCTTCGAGCGCTTCGCCCCGTGAGGCCGCCGGCGTCTCCGGCTGCAGTCGCCCGATCAGGAGCGTCACCTTGTGCCAAACCTGTCCCCTCATCATGCCCCGGGGGGGAACGGGGCTGGCCCTGCTCTGCCCTTCCCCGGGAGATGCGTGCTGAGCTCGGGGGGGGGGGGGGGGGATCTGGTCCAGCCCGAGACCCTCATCTCCCTTCGTGCCTCCCGAGAGCCGCCAGTGGGTCCCCGAGACCGTCTGCTTCCCCTCACCAACACGTGGGGAGCGACCGCTCCCAGCGCCGCTGGTGGTTAATTAATCATGGGAATGATTTTGGAAGGACCAAGGAAGACCCCAGCGAACCCCCTGCCCGCGCCCTGCTCGTGCCTCGTGGTTCAGCTGGAACCGTGCAGCGCGCCCCGTCCGTGCGATAACTTATTTAATTGCAGCTTTAATGGCACCACCGTGTTCGTGGCTGGCTGTGCGTGTGTTGCCACTTGTGCACCCCATCTCCTCGCAGCTGCGGGACCCCAGCCCTCAACCTGCTTATTTGGGGGGGGGGGGGGGGCAAGGCAGGTGCCTCTCCCCATTCCCCCTGCCCCGCAGCTGCCTGTCTGAGCTTGGAAAAAATAAAACCTGATCGGTGCGGAGCCGTGCTGTGAGTTTGGGTTAATATTTACCCACGCGGGGCTGGGCTGCACTGACTGGCAGTCGGAGCTCGGTGCAGCTGGGGATCCCGGCCCACGGACCCGGGAGAAGGTCCTGGCAGCCCTCGCTCCACTGGGCCACGTCCCAGTGAAACTGGGACCCGATAACCTTCGCCCTCCCTGGCTCCGTGTTTGCTCTCCCAGTCGCTGGCTCTCGGGGCAGGATCGTGCCCCGGGGGGCTTTGCTGGGGCTCCCCCAGTGGGTTCCCAGCAGGTCGGACTCAGGATGGGGGGACCCGGGTGGCCGTGGGGGGTTGTCACACACCTTGTGCCGCCGTCACAGACGGGCTCGGTGGCCTCGGTCCCTCCTGGCTGCGCTCACCCCTTGAGGGACCGCGGCTGTGGTGGGACAGGAGGGGACGGCGTGTGGTCTGGTGTCACCCCGAGGGGACAGCGCGAGGTGGAAGCTTGATGTCCCCGGGGAAGGGGTTGGCAGCACAGCCAGAGTCTCCCACCCATCCTGGTCTTAGGAGTGTGGCGGGAGGCCAGATACCACCACGATGGGCGTAAATGAGCTGCTCAGCACCCACAGCTCTCCTCCTCCCCGCTCCCTCCCTTCCCTCTCAGGCAGGATCCCTCCGGCGCTGCCAGCCCAGGACAAAGAGCAGCCTGTGAGCAAACAGAGCCAAGGGTGGGGGCCGACGGTGGCCCTGGGCCACCCTGGCACAGGGTTTGCGCCGAACGGGGTTGGACTCTGGCGCTTGGCACCATCCGGCTTTTGTAATAGCTGGGAAGTGGTTGCTCCTGTTGACTTCAGGCACGGCCGCACCCTGCTCCCCAGGGAGGGCACCCTGGGGCTGGCAGCGCTGGTGACGGCCACCCCTGCATGTCCGTGTCCCCTCCCCCCCCCCCTTAATCTGTACAGTCAGGGATCCCCCACATCAGTGGCAGCCAGCACTGCTCCCCGCCGGGGTCCCGGCAGGGACCCCCCAACCCCGCGACCCTGCCAGGCTGGGCCTGCTGAGCTCTTCCCACCCCCACCCCCCCCAGCCCGGCACCCCTGAGCTGCCGTTGCTTCCAGACCTGGTTTATTAACAACAGTTAATTATCAGCCGTGGCAAGAAGCTAAAGGCTGCCCTCAGGGTGGGCTCTCTCCCTCCGGGAGCAGGGAGCGATTCCAGGATGCGAGTGGGAATACGGCTCCTCCCGGGAAGCCCAGAGCCCCCCAAGGTCCCCGTGTGGAGGCAGCTCGGGGAGGTGGGGGGACGACTTTGCCCACAGGGTCGTTCCCTCGGGGCAGAGAAGCGTCGCATCCCCTGGTTTGGGAGTGACTGCTGGCAAGGACGTGGTGTTGGGGGGCTCTGCCTGCAGCCCCTTGGGTTTGGGAGAGGAGTGGTGGGGGGGGGTCCCCCACATCCCACAGGAGTGATGGGAAGGAGGGGATTGGGATCAGGGCAAAGCTGCGTGAACGATGGAGTCTGGTGGTCCACGGCAAGCGACCGAGCTGGGGTGAGCATCCTCATCCCAGCATGAACCAGTCAGCCTCGGGGGGGCTCCCCCTGCCCAGGGGGAGCTAGGAGGGACGGGCTGCACTGGGCTCTGCTCCCCGGTTCTCCCTCTGCCCCCGGGGTGCCATGAGCCCCAGGGGCTGCGATTAAACAGGGTCCTTGCTTCTCCCTTAAATAAACTCCAGTCCAAGTCCTTCCTCCTTCCGAAGCCCCGTGCTCTGGTGTCCCCGGGAGGGATGGAACTGAGCCGGCGTGGGCAGCCAGTGGTGGTGGCCGGTGGGTGACAACCGGCCGGGTCATTTCTCCTCCCGCTCGCTGGCGGCGCAGAGGTTGGGGTTCTCGGCTAGCGTCGCCCGCACTTTCTTCTTCTCCTTAAAGCGTCCCGAGTTGGAGACCTTGACGTGTTTGCCTTTGCTGCTCTTGTCCACGATCTTCTCCAGGCGGGCGGTGAAGCCGGGCGGCCCCTCCTCGCCCGGCCCCTCCGGGCTCTCGCCGGCCGTGGCAGCGTGGCTGTCGGGGCTCTCGTACAGCACCGTGGGCACCGACCGGCGCTTCCGCAGGAAGGTCAGCTTCCACCAGCCGTGGCTCTCGGCCATCCCTGAAATGGAGGTGGGGGTTGTACTCCCTCTGGGGGGGTCCCTCAGCCCTGCCATATCCCGGAGTTGACGGGGATGGATAAGGGACACCGGCTGCCGATGCGGGGGGAGCCTGGTGCCATGTTTGCTGAAGGCGGTTCTGGTGCTTTCCTGCCATCTCTGCTGGGATGCTGGTGGCAGGAACTGCGGGGGGGCTGCATGGAGCTGGGGCAGGAGGACCCCACGGGTACCGGGAGGGGATGCTCCGGTGACTTGGGCATTGCCGAGCCCCGGGGAAAGGCTGCCGGCACCGCCGGGAGCTGCCGTATCAGCTGCGTGTAGCGGGGCAGGGAGGGCGCCCAGTAAGCAAACAGGAACAGGAACTGGGAAGCAGGTGGGAGCTGGGGAGGCGCTGGGGGGGGTGTGGTGGGGTCACCACCCGCTGCACCCCGGGGTTGAGGTTTTTCTCTCGCCCAACCCTGGCTGCAGGGACAGGCAGGAGCATCGGTGGGGGCCCGGGAATCCTCAGGAGGCTCCGGTGCCGAGCGTGGCTCCAGGGCAGGGACGGGGAAGGGAGGGGATTCCCAGCACCAGGTCCCCGTCCCGGGGGGCCAGCGTGGCTCCGTGCCCCTGCGGCGCTCGGCCAACCCCACAGACCGACCCCCTGCCCGGCTCCTCCTGGGTGGTGCCTCCGGCATCGCTTTTGGGTGCTGGCACAGGGGGGACAAGGACACTAAAACCGAGGCCACCGCCCCAGGGAAGATGGTTGGTGGCCCCATGGGCTGATTTGCTGTGTCCCCCCCCAACACCACGCCATGCCTCCCGCCGCCTGCCCCCTCCTCATGCCAGAGCCGGGTGGGTCCTGTCACCCAACCGTGGCCGTGCCATCCCCCCGGGGCTGGCAGCGGGGGGGGGGGGTTTTCCACGTCCCACTCCCCACCGCGGGCACCCCGTCTGTCTACCTGCGCCTCCCACGCCTCCGCCCAGCCCGGGGGTCCCCAGGGGGGTGCCGGGACGGCTCCGATCGCGGTTGCACAGGCAGGTGCCGTCTACCTGCCCGTTTGCTCCCCCGTCAAGGTGAACCCGCGACCAAACCCCTCCTTGCCTGAGCAAACAGCGGGGCCGGGCCACGCCACGGCTGAATATTCATGACAGGGGAACCCAGGGCTGAGCCCCGACGATGGCTACCGGCCCACGGCAGCTCCGGGTCCTGGCATCGACCGTGGCACCAGGCTGGGCTCGCCGGCCTCGAGGGCAGGTCACCCAAGGGTGCCGGGGTGGCACGCGGCACGTGTTTCGGGCAGCCAGGAGTTAAGGGCGGCCGGCGGGACAGTGGCCGGGGTGACTTTCGGCGGGATTAGCCGAAACCAGGGGCTGCCAGACCGGTTCCTGCCGCCCGCTTCTCCCCACCGCCGGCCCTGGGGATGGGGTCATGCCGTGGGGGGGGGATGGAGGAGGAGAGCCACCATCTCCCCCCCTCCCCAGGCGAGGACGCGCGTGGCTCGCGGGGCCACGTCCCGGCTGTGGGTGACACCCATGGGTGCCCCTTGGCGTGACGACAGCCCCGGGGGGGGGCTGCAGGCAGCGGGTCCCCCCCAAGTCCCCCGGGGGCATCCTGGGGGGCGGCTCCTCCCAGCGGGAGGGTCCCTGAGGGATGCTGGCTCGGCGCTGGGGCACCCAGAGGTCCCCGAGGAGGGATCTGGGACCTGCCTTGGGTCTTTCCAGGGATCCCCAAGGGACCCTCTGGGGCAGCTGGGGGATGCCAAGGGGGATTCTGGCTCTGCGCTGGGGCACCTAGTGGTCCCCGAGGGATCTGGGATCTCCTCTGGGGGTAGACAGGGATCCCCCAAAGCATCTGGGATCTGACTGGGGGCTGCTGGGGATCCCCATATGATCTGGGATCTGCTGGGGGGGGGATCCCAGGGATCCTGGAGGGACCTGGGATGTTCTCAGGTGCGGCTGGGGACCCCCGAAGGATCCTGGCTCTGCGCTGGGGCACCCCGAGGTCCCCGAGGAGGGATCTGGGATCTGCTCTGGGTCCTTCCAGGGATCCCCAAGGGACCCTCTGGGGCAGCTGGGGGATCCCGGGGGGATCCTGGCTCTGCGTTGGGGCACCTAGTGGTCCCCGAGGGATCTGGGATCTTCTCTGGGGACAGATGGGGATCCCCGAAGGATCTGGGATCTGCTGGGGGGGGGCTCCCAGGGGTCCCTGTAGGACCCCGGATCTGCTCTGGGGATACCCGAGGGATCCGCCACACTGCGCATGCGTGCGCCGCACCTCCTCTCCTTCCCCCCTCTGACCCTTTCTGATTGGTCGGCGGTGCCTCCTCTCCCCGCCCTCTCCCTCTCCCCCAGCCAACCGGGACGCGGGCACGTGGCGCTGCCGCGACGCCGCTCGCTTCTGATTGGTAGCGGGGCGGGGCCGGTTGGACAGCGCGCATTCTGATTGGCTGACCTGCCGGGGAGGGGAGGGGAGCCGCGGCCGTGAAACGCGGAAGCGGAGCGGCGGGCGGGCGGCATGGAGGTTGGGGGGGCGGCCGGGGCCGGGGCTGGGGGAGCGGGGACAGGCCGGGCCCGGGTGGGAGGAGCGGGATAAGGGGACGGGGACGGGGACCCGGCCCGGGGGAGCGGGGACAGGCTGGGCCCGGGTGGGAGGAGCGGGATAAGGGGACGGGGACCCGGCCCCGGCCCGGGGGAGCGGGGACAGGCCGGGCCCGGGCGCTGGAGCAAGGGGGGGCCCGGCCGCGGCTCCGGCTGGGCTCCACCAGGCCCCGCCGCCCCTCGCCTCCCCTCAGGTCTCTCCCCAGGATTACCAGAACGTTCCCATCGACATCCAGACCGGCAAACTGCTGGGTACGGCACCCTTAACCCCTGCGAGCCTCCCGGGGTGGGCAGGAATTAGGGGGGGGGGGGGGGAACGCCCCGGTGGGCGGGGGAGTGGGCTGGCACCGCTCACGCGCGTCCTCCTTCCCCGGGTGGGTTTGTCACCCCAGCGTGTGGCAGCTTGTGGCCTCAGCGCTGCCCACCTTGGTGCTGTGCCGTGTTGTCCCGGTGCAGGCAGCAATGGGGTGACACACCCGCCCCCCCCCCCCGGCTTTTTCCCCTCCAGCCCTTCCCAGACGTGATTCCCCCCCACTCCAGGGTCCCTCTCCCAGCTGACCCCCTCCCCGTTTCCCTCCCTCCCGCGCAGACTGGTTGGTGGACAGGAGACACTGCACCCTGAAATGGCAGAACCAGGTTCTGGCCGTGCGTGAGAAGATCAACGTGGCCATCCAAGACATGCCGGAGAACGAGGAGATAAAGCAGCTGCTGGCGGGGGCCTGTGAGTGGGGCTGGGGGCTTGGGGGGGGGCACAGGAGAGCTGGGACGTGGGCGGTGGGTGTCGCCTGTTCCCGAGGGTTTGGTTATGGCAAGCTCCGAAGCGATGGGGAGTCAGTGGCACAGCCCCTCCAGAGACCCCCGCTCCCCTGGGGCTGAGCTGGGGGAGGGTGGCACCTGGTAGACGTCCCGGTGACCGCGTCCCCTCCCTCTTTCCCACGCAGACCTGCACTACTTCCACTGCCGGAGGATCGTGGAGATCCTCAAGGGCACTGAGGCCTCCACCAAGAACCTCTTTGGACGCTACTCGTCCCAGCGCATGAAGGTGAGCACGGGCCTGGGGACGGGTGGCAACGTGTCCGCAGCCTCCCCCACCCTCTGCTTCGCCCCTCCCCAGGACTGGCAGGAGATCGTGTCCCTCTACGAGAAGGAGAACACCTACCTGGGTGAGGTGGCTCCTGAAAAACCCTTGGTGGTGGGGTGGGAAATGGGTGGCTTTCGGTCTCCAAACTGGGGTGAGGATGGGGTGGGCAGGGAAAGGGGTAGGACATGATGGATTGACAACTCCCACGGGGGTGAGGACGCTGAGCTGGTTCCGTGATGGCTTGGGGCACCCTGAGGGCCTCATGGGTGGCTGGCACGGCCTCTCAGCACCCCCCACTTTCCCCCCTCCCCTTTCTCCCTGCAGCCGAGCTTGCCAGCCTCCTGGTGCGCAGCATCAGCTACGAGATCCCCTCGCTGCGGAAGCAGATCAGCCGGTGCCAGCAGGCCCAGCTGGACTTCGCCCGCCGCGAGGACGAGTGTCAGCTGCGGGCGGCCGAGCTGCGGGAGCGGTTCTTCACCTCCTGCAAGCAGTACGGCATCACCGTGAGTCCCTGCGCCCCGTCCCCCTCTGCCACCTCCCTCCCCGAAGCAGCCCCCGGACGCCCGCGTTTGGCCTCAGCAGGGCTCAGGCTGGGTCCATGTGTCACATACGATGTCCCCACGGTGTCGCCTTACCTACAGGAGGAGTTGGGGGGGGTGGAGGTGACCCCGCAGTTCCCTTTCTGCCCACGTCTAGCTCATCAAGCAGAGGGTGAAGCCACCCCGAGGGTGTTTTAGCTGCCCTGACACATCCCTGCTCTGTCCCCAGGGTGACAACGTGCGCCAGGAGCTGCTGGCCTTGGTGAAGGACCTGCCATCGCTGCTGTCTGAGATCGGGGCGGGAGTCAGCGCGCTCTCCGAGGCCATCGAGCTCTACCAGGCCTGCGTGGAGTTCGTGTGCGAGAGGTGGGGGGGCACAGGGATATACCCCCCACGTGTCCTCTCCCCGACATGTGGGGCCAGTGGGTTGGGCTGGTGGCTGCCCCCAGGCTCTGGGGCTCTCCCAAAGGGGACCCTGGTGGGGTTTGGGGACGGTTCTGGGAGGGGGGGGGGGGGGGGGGGAGGGGGGGAGGTCCCCACTTTGTGCCTGGGCGCTGATGTCCCCACGGTGGCTGCCAGCTCCACGGAGCTGGTGGTGCCCCTGCTGCGATACGTGGGGAAGAAAGGCAACACGACTGTCTACGAGTGGAGGACGGGGCTCCAGCCGCTGCAGGTGGAGCGACCGGAGGTGGAGGAGGTGCCGGAGCCGCCGGGGGAGGACACGGTATGGACACGGCACACGCCGCGGTGCCGGGGCTGCCCCGTGACGGTTTGGGTTAGGCTCTTTGCCCCCGGTGTTTCAGGGGGTCTGTTGTCCTTCTCCCCGCAGATCAACTGGGGAGACTTCACCCTGGAGCCGAGCCGGGTGGGTGACGGTGCTGCTGGCGACGGGGGAGCCCAGGGCGAGGAGATTGACTGGGGGATCACGCTGGAGTCCGGTCCCCAGGTCTGTGACCCCTGGCTGTGTGATCCTGGGGTCTGGCCCTGCTCCAGGGCCGGGTTGGGGACCCGGGGAGTGTCCCGGGCTCCCCCATCCCACAGGGTGCTCTTTATTTTGCAGCAGGATGATGGCATTGACTGGGGAGACGGGGAGAGCGAGGAGGTGCAGATCACGGTGCTGGAGGCTGGCACTGAGGGTGAGCATGGCTGCAAAGGGACCCAGAGGGTCCTAGTGGGTGGCAGGCAGCACCCACCCTGCCTTTACTCCCCTTTCCCCGCCTGCAGTGTCCCTGGGCACAAAGACCTATTGGGGTTTCCACTAAAAGGTGCCGTGGGGTGATGCTGAGCACCCCGTATGGGATGTGTGGGGGGGTAGGACCAGACTCTGAGCCATGGAACTCTCTTCCCTGCTGCGTCCCTGCCCCTCTTACCCTAACCTTAACCCTAACCCCCAGTGCCCGAGGGGGTCGCCTGTGGCTCCGACGCCCTGACACTCCTGGAAAACCCCGAGACCCGGAGCCAGTTCATCGACGAGCTCATGGAGGTGGGGACGACGCGGCAGCCGGGTCGGGGGCAGCCCTGCCGCCGTCTCGGACGCGGGGAACGGCAGTACCCCAGCGTCCCCTCGCCCTGTCCCCGCAGCTGGAGCTGTTCCTTTCCCAGCGACTGGTGGAGATGGAGGAGGAGGCCGACATCGTGGCCATGAACCAGTTCCAGCTGGCCCCCGCCGTGCTGCAGGGCCAGACCAGTGCCCGTGTGGGTTCCCTCCTGGCCACCACCCGGGCGCTGCTGGGCCAGCTCTGCACCCGCACCATGCAGCACCTCTTCATGATCCTCGCTTCCCCCAGGTCCTCGGAGGAGGGGGGGAAAAAAACAAACCAAACCAAAACACAGCGGGGTCAGGGTTGGAAGTGTGTGTGGGGACTGTGGGGCTCTGTGAGAGGCAGAGCTGGAGGTGGAGGGGTCCTGGGGGTGGCACCTGGGTGGGCGATGGGGGTGAAGGAGGTCCTGGGTTTTCCCCGAATAGGTACGTGGACCGTGTGAGTGAGCTGCTGCGGCAGAAGCTGAAGCAGGCGGAGCTGCTGCT